AGGGACATTTTCTTAGTTTGGTTTCTGCTGTATTTTCTTTTGGTTCAAACCACACAAATTCAGCCACATAAATTCAGCAACACAAACTCAGCTACAACCATCAATCATAACTTCACAATCTTCAACCTCTACTTCGCCCTTTTTTTCTGTGATTTCACACCAATCTCTTTATTTTCGCTTGTAATTTTGATTACGTACCTCATTCAATTAAACTGTGATTTCTCCTGTGCGTTCCAATCGTCTTCTCTGCTATACTAGTAACGTTTTGAAGTTACATAACTAAATATTGAATGCCAACACTGTGCACATGAAATTCCGGTCTTAGCTGATAAAGTCTACGATTTCTTACCCATTTCGCAATGTTTCCCGGTGTATCCTTTCCCGCAAACACACACATAGCTGTTCTTCTCGTACTGTGCAGCGCATGTCCCATTGTTCTGACACGGCCAACTGATGCATGGAGACTAAACGGGTAAAGGACAAAGCTACAGCGCAGTGAAAGCCACACAAGCATAGAATGGGAGTGAAAGGGGATTAACAAAAGTGACCAAAAAAATCGAATCACACACATTTGTTTGTTTTTTGTTTTTTCCATTTGTACAGATTAGCGGCCACGACACAGAAACTTTGAGAAGAAAAACAATGAGTGAAAAGTTTCTGGGCGGAGAACAATTCCTATCGAGTGATACTATATTTCTAACATTGATCTCAACATAACCAAAAACGAATTTTCCCCGCTTTTTCTCTTTGTTTCTTCTCAACTAAGGGCCTCCTCAAAAATCAGAAAGATTTTCTTGATAATAGAGTTCTTGCATCACCTAATTTACACCACTCGAACACGATCTGAAAAGTATTTGAGGCACATGGACAGAAAAGTTCCAAATGTTACAGTGTCCAAAATTGATGGTCCAAGTCAAGACTCTAATATTGACAGGAAAAGTCCCTCTCGTTGATAGTAGTGGTATCTTAAAAGGCTGTTCATAGAAAATTTAATTTTACCTAAAGGCAATCTTACTTTCTAAAATTTTTGTTTAGAATATTGCGATTTCGAACTTACCATGATACTAAAGTGGTGGTGACTCTGACTGACAACAAACCTGTCTGAGTTGTTGTACATGTCCGAAGGAAGTAATTCACAAAGCATTTTGCCAATGACATCTTCAGGAGTAGCCAGGTTGAAGGAGAAGCATGAAGGTATGTTGACACAAGCCAGTCCACACTCAATGGCTTCCATAACATAATCTGAAGCAATGCTGGTGATGTTCAGGTACGAAAACTTGTGAGCCTTAAACTTGGCATAGGCCAGTCCTCTATCGGTACCGCGGCTGAAAGTCTTTCCACTCACATCGAGAACTTTTGTTTGTTGAAATTGAAGAGAGAAAAAAAAATATTAAAGTAACAAACTACAATTCCGAAAAAAATATCGTAACTCGTAAGCACTTGTTAAAAAATTCTTGCATAATTAACATACCATTTGGAGCATCTGCCACAGAACATGTTATCACAATAAAACATGTTACCACATAAAAATAGTTCTGTATAGCTGCATACTTGGCCTTGGCTATAAGCGGAGTTAACCATGCGGAAATGTGAATTTGGAAACTACCAAAATTGATGGTTCACAAAGTTAGTTCAAGAACCGTTTGAAGGGAACGCGTAATTATCTAACAGGTGAAACGGAAATTACGACTCGATCAGTTCGTTAATACTTTCCTTGACGTCAAACGGTCTAAATAATTTAAGTGTTTAGTTTGTTCAATTCTGCATTTCGTGTATTCCGGAGTTCTCTAACACAGTCTTCTTGTCACCCCTATAATTGTCTTCTCAGTGGTGTCCAAGAGCAAAGCTTTATCTTTCATGTAAAACCGACAGTTCAAAGATAAAAGACACGTGCACTCAGCCTCGAACAAACTGTAATCCTCGCTTATTTGGTCACGTCCATGGAGTTGCGGTTTCTAACAAAACTTGACGCCAAAAAAATAACAAAATTAAAAATAAATTAGTATGCATTTTCTTTCCCATTTTTTCTTAGGAGTAATGTCCTTGCTCATTACAAAATTAAAACTTATTTGGCAGATAACTCCGCCAAATTAAGGTTTGTTCGAAGGTTTTTGCAGCTAAGATGTTTGTTCAATGAACTTCACTAACAATATAGAATCGGGAAGTTCCTGTTATCAAATATTAAGAGGCCACCTTGGCATATTTTGCAGAATTTATCCGTCATTTTAGGCAAATGTTGCTTTGAAATATTTGTGATGTGTTTCAGAGATGTATCATGTTTTCGTAAATGTGAAGATTGCCAGGGAATATCTCACGCGAAAGGTTAGCAAACTTAGGCCTTGTTTGCCTGACAGAAAAATGTTTTTAATGACTGACTGATTCTAAAAATAACAATGAATATAGTTAGAAATGATGTCGATTTTCTACTGGAAACAATCGAAGTCTTCTATGTCCCGTGGTGTGAAGTTTCTGCCAAGCAGAGCATAGGGTCATTTTCATCGATTATTTCGATAGAAGTAGACAAAAAATTAGAGATGAATATTGGTAAGTCATTCCTCTTCAGATCCCCTACAGAATTCATTTGTATTTGTATAAGATTTCCTGTTTTAGCTCATCATCCCTCTCAAAGACACTCTAATTTTAATTTCCGTCCGTTTTTTTTTCCTTTTTTCTTCTTTCTTGGACACGATAACAATGTCTCTTTGACACAACGATAAAGATAGTTTTTTTTTTTGGCAGAGTTGACACAATTCTTCGAACGGTCAATCAAACAATCGAAGGCGTTTTACCCGTATTTAACAGCTTTATTTTATTGCCTGCTTATTCTTATTGGCTTCATCTTGCCTTGAAGTTCAAAGAATAGCAAAATGCTTACAAGAGTATTGCCAACAAACCCAACGAAATTTCTTTGTATCTCAAATTTCTCACTTTGTCTAGTTGCTAGTATCCATTGTAAAAATTTTATTACTTCATCCCTTTGGCAATTCCTTTGAAGCTTTATCTCAAGGAACTAGTTCATAAAATAACCAACTAAACAACAAACGTCGTTTAAAATACAAAACAAAATGGTAGCGTTGAAAGGCGCCTGACGTCTACCCTAACAATTACTTAATGCACTGCCTAAAGTTAATTTACTTATACGGAAATAGCTCTCTTATTCATCAACGTCAATTGTCAACGTGTTATATCACATTAAGTCTTCAGTTGCTCAAGGCGAGAAGTATCTTGCATGGAAGTTACGTGGTGCTCGGTTTTGCAATTTGGTAATTTGGCAGAGTAGTTTAGCAACATATCTCGCATCCTGTCTTTTGGTACCTTCATTCTACCATGCTGTCTGATGTATGCTGTAGAGTGTGAAGATGGCGGGTAGATTGTTTTAATTAATATTAGGGGATGTCTTTGAAAATGTTATCTTATAATGCATATGAAGCGGGTATTATAAACGAAAGTAATTTATCGTGAACGTTCAATTTATAAAGCTATTATAAAGAGACGTGAATCTCCAAAGACAGGTGTGATATGCCTCACGCAAGCCGTTCTAAGTACGCATTTGCGATCTAACGATCATGAAGTTTAGGCTCTAATTTCGGCACAGTTTACTGTTGTACTCTCTTTGTTTGAATGCTTTAACGCTGAAAAAAGGTAAAATTTCTATACCGTTACTTTAATGAGTTTGACTATGTATTCAGCGATCAAATGGTCCATTTTCTACGGAAGCCGAAAAGGGACAATCCAAAAATATTTTTCAAATCCCGAAAAATATTTCAAATCGCAATATTTGTTTTAAACTCACTGTCGAAAAGTTTGACAAATCCAAAGATATTTTGCAAATCCAAAAAAAATATTTAGAAATCCAAAAGATTTTTTTCAAAATCCCGAAAATATTTTGCGAATCCAAAAAAAATTTTTGAAATCCAAAAAAATTTTTTCAAAATCCGAAAATATTTTGCAAATCCAAAAAAATATTTTGAAATCCAAAAAAAAAATTGTGTTAAATGGGAACACTAAGAACTGTAGTACGATCGAATCAGCGGGCGTGGCGCAAGCTGAAAGCAATCAAGACAACTTAGCGATCGAGACAGTGAAAAAAATAGCTGTACATCTACAAAGGCGAACGATTCGAAAAAGACGCAATCCCTGATGTGCGTACTCATTTTAAACAAACTGAGACATTTCTGTATACACACTATAGTTCCTGTCACCCACAAGGAATTAAAAGAGACTTCATAAAAGGGGAGACCCTTAGACTTCTAAGAACAAACTCCTCTCAAACAATATTTGAGGAGAAAATTACAAATGAAGCGCATTTGCTAAAGAGAGGCTACCGAGAGGACCTCATTAGCACAACCCTCTCAGAAGTGAATTAAAAAACAGGAAATTAGCTCTTCAACAGAAACAAAAGACGAACCAACGAATCTTGCCTTTTGTGTTACACAATACCAACCATCAGTGCCAAACCTAAAGCAAATTCTCATGAGACACTGGTATTTAATAGAAACACAACCACTACTCAACGAAATATACAAAAATCCGTTTCTCGTATCTTACAAAAGAGG